TCAAATACATCTTCCAACTTTAAAGCATCATCATTGTCATCTACTACTCATAATTCAGCTCGGTGCGTTAGTAAATCTTTGACCTTCACATTCTGTTTTCTATTTTCTGAAAATTCTGATCAATACGTTGTTGTTACACGTTCGTTGAACGCATAAGGCTAGAACAGTAATCATCATATGTGTTTTCTGTTGAATCAGCATATTGTAATGTATCATATGTTTGCGATTTAGTGTGGTCTTCAATATCAAACTATTCATCCGCTAAGTGAATCATACATTGAACTTGATAAGAGGGACAAAGTATGGTACCAATGTCAAGTTATTCAATAAATTTTTGACAAAATAATTGTCGAATATATTTTCATGAAACTTCACCGTTGAATATTCTTGATCTTTCGATAATTCTGTCAATGCAGATCATTACTGGTTGATTATTTTTATTCAATCAATATTTAATTCATATAGACAACTCCATGTGAAAGGTGGCTTATGCTATTTGTTTAGAACATACATTGACTTTGATATCAACTAGAATCTTATTATTGATAAATCTGAAGGAGAATGATGGTATTTAATTCATGTCGATGTAGTCTAATGGTCAAGATTTGTCGTTGCCAACGTCAACATCCGGGTTCGACTCCCGGCGTCGACAAGTATTTTTTTTTAATTCAGCGAATAAAAATTTCATAATTACACATTACATCATTCTTTCGACATCAGGTAGAAAAAGGTGTCTAATACAAACTCTTTAAATATTTTAGTTCTAGCAAATGATTCGATGACAGATGTTGCTTATAAAACTAATTGAATCATCCCAGTGATACCTACATTTAATCACTACATTAATCCATATTACTACATAAGTTCAATTTTGAAAGTAAAATGACACTTCTAAACCAGCATTAATACTATTAAATACATACACGATAAATTCGAATGAATAGAAGAGTGTTTAAATCAAAGATAAAAGTTATCATATTCATTTCTGTACTATTTTGAAAACCAGATGATATTTATTCCCATATATGCAGAGCAGTATGTGCAAATATATTCTGTTGATCTAAGCTATAGCATCATTTTCAGTATTGCTGATCTATCCTTGTTTTAGATAATGAATAAATACACTATTCTCACTTTTATTTTCTGTGTCACTTTTATATCCATTGTAACATCTTCATCGTTTTGTCGAATCGGAGCTCCTTTTCCTGAATGGATGACAGGTTATTTTCATGCAGAATTTGCCGATGGTACATCGGCCAACGCTAGATTTGGAAAATGGTATGCAAATGTAACATTTTCAACTGGTGAGAACGGTACATTGACAATGACAGCACCTCTACAACAAATTGGCGATACCTATGTCTTCCATGAATGTGTACAGATTTATGATAGTGAACCTGCATTACGTTGTTCACTTTTAGTCCGTAATGGTACTGGTTATACAGAATACATCCATAAAGATCCAGAACTGATTCCAATTTGTCCTGAATCGATTTCGTCACCTGATCTTGAAATGGAAATCGTTACTCGACTTGATTAGACGTATATATTCGTCATTTTTCAATTTTTTATCGTAATTCATGTGTTAGGTATCGCATACAAACAGATGATTACTAAATTGTAACACTTTCGAATGAATCAAAACTGAAAATTATCATGATCATGAACCATCTTGAGGATCTGGGTGTGAGTGGTACAATAGAAGCAGGGATGCCAAATCCAAATTTTAGAAATCAGGAGTTTTTTCTGAAAAATCAGGAGGTGACCAGGAGATTTTTCTCAAAAAAGCAGGAGGAAAATCAGGAGATTTTTTTACGACATTAGATCAAATAAGAGAGCATCAAGCAGATTTTTTTTTGAAGCAAGCAACCGATTTTACTGATTCTAATTGAAAATTGTACATTACAAACAAGAAAAGCCTTTGATCTGATCATTTTTGCATTCTTCAAAAATAAAAAATAACGTGTATGTGTATTGGACAGCCGTTTGTTTCTGAATTTGGATTCGTAATGTTTAGCCATTGTGGTATATTAAAATGAAACGAATCTTGATTTCAAAATGCTTTTTAATACAGCAGTGATAGCACTTATTTAGCTATATTACAGCTTGAAGAAGAAGATTTCATTCTGACAGATTCGAAAGTTCACTAATCTTATCTCATTGTGATGAGAACATTCGAAGAAACACCTAACCGGCTATTTCAATGTACGATTATTTAGACAAAAAGGCTATACGATTAGGGAGGAGACAGGGATTCTCCCTTCCTCAATTTTTTTGCTCGTTCTGCATTTTTTTCTGGAAAATTTAGCTAGTCGATCTTTTGCGCTCTTTCTGAATTTTTTAATCGATTAAACGCACCAAAAATACGCAAAAAAGAAAAGTTGTCATCCTGGTTTTTAAGGAGAATGAGTCAGTTTTCCCAAGGAGAAACAACTATCTATTTTTCGACGACTTTCTCCCTAGCTTTCTTTCACGCTTGAATAAAGCCAAACGAAAGCCAAGAGAGAGGATCTTTGTTTCTCGAAGTTTAATGGACCGTAGGACATTTTTTGTACCACATGTTTGTTTTTTTCTCAGCCACTTCAACGATCATCTATAAATTAAAAAGCGTGGAACGACGAGTAACGTTCATCGGGATCGATTCAATCAGCCCTGGACTGAATAATTAAAGATTTTTCCGATTTTGTGATTTTACATGCATCCAAAATCTGGAAATCTGACGAAAAAATACTATTTTTAAAACACAAGAAATGGCAAAACTCTTGAAAGGAAGAGCAAAGTAGTCAAAATTCAGAACTGGTCCAATAATTCGGCTGATTTACACCCCAAAGTTTGGATTCAAAGAATCCAAAACAACGAGAGTAAAACAGTTCTTAAAATTAGAGAATGAAAAAATCATGTCGAATTGAATGAACAGTGATGTAAAAAAAAAAGCGTTTCAGACAGACACACAGATACATCCATAGACAAAAGGAATTAATTAGCGTTTTGTAGACCTTATACTATTCAGTCTAAGAAAAAAATCGATAGTCGGTACGTCAAGTTTGCATTAAAATAGTTCAATGATTCTCTCTTTCTTTTCCACTTCTATTATTGATTCAAAATATCTCTAGAGTTGATGTTTCGAAAAAAAAACTGAAAATCAAGAGAAAATCTTCAAAATCAGTTCCTGAATTCAGGAGAACTTTTGCCAGGAGAAAGGTTTATAAATCAGGAGACTCCTGGTCAACTCAGGAGATTTGGCAACCCTGGCTATTATTATTATTGTATCCATTAAAAAATGAAAGATTCCTTTTCTCTTCGAAGCCTGCATTGATGCAAGGTATCGCTAATCATCAAGTAATTAAAAAAACAATAAAATCAGGAGAAATCAGGAGAAAATCGTAAAAATCAGTTTCTGAAATCAGGAGATTTTCTCATCAGGAGAAAAGTAAGAAAATCAGGAGACTCCTGCCAAAATCAGGAGGTTTGGCAAGCCTGAATAGAAGACACCCACATCCACACCCCCACCACCCCAATTTCTTCGGAATATTTTTTTTTATCAAACGTTTTTAGAATAAACCATAAATCTATGAATAGAAACTGCCACACCAAAGAAATAAACTATATCAAAAACTTTCTCAGAAAACACTTCCAATTTGTACTCGTCGACCAGTAGGTTAAATATATTGAGGTTAAAGAATTGGGGTGCACAAGAGCCATTTTTGGGCCCTCGTTATTTTTGGTCAATTCATGGTTAACTAGATGCAGAATTTTGCGAGAAATCGTTTGGTGACAAAATAAAGCTATTTTTGAAGAGTTTCGACGGA